TCCCCACTGTCTGCTTTCCTCCAGGGATGGAAATGATATTTATTGAGCACCTACTATGTGCCGGGCTCAAGTGTTTTCTCACTTCACACTCATCATTCCCAGAGAAAGAAGTATGATTATTATCCCCATTTTACAGATGAGAAAACTGAAACTCCAAGAGGTCAAGTGACCTGCCTGAGGTCACACAGCCAGAATTCAGAGCCTACACTATAATACATCCAATCAATCTTGCTGGCTTTTTTCACTTCTTTTGGCGGGGACACAGTTTCAAGTTTCTTTAGCATGTCTGAAGGGTAGAGGGCAGTCTCCCCAGCTCCAAGGAAGAAAGTATCCAGAGACCTTACAGCCAGCAATGGGTCAGTGCTGAGATGAGCACCTGAGCAACTGGGATGCAGTGGAGTAGACAAGGTTTAACCAGGTTCAGATTGTTCTTCCTAGCGGTGTGTGTTTGGGTAAGTCAGGTCATCTCTTTGAGCTCTTAATGCCTCATCTGTGAAATGTTTACAGGTGATGAAATTGGGCTTCTCTTCAAGAAGGCAGAGCAAGTACATACTGGAACCTCTTCAAACACTTAGAAATGACAGAAAAGTACTAAAATAAACAAGAAACCAAAGCAGAGGTGCCCAATGACAAGGTTTGAAGACCCCATGGAAAACTAGGACCAGTGCAGGGCCCCTAAATATATGAGGCCCAGAACACCTGCACAAGGCCCTGACCAGCTGCACATGGGAGAAATATCCTGAAGAGATGGTGGATCCACAACCACATTGTGAAGTTCCCACAAACTCCCCAACTGAAAGAATTTACATCTGAGGAACTAAAGAAGAACAGTGCACTGCTCAGAGGGCTTTACAATGAATGTATTAAATGACTTTGAGAGAGAAAGGGAATAACAGCCATAAAACAAGAACAGGAAGATGTGAAACAAGAACAGGCGAACATAAAAGCGAACCAGTGAGAGCTCAGATATGAAAAATATAGTTGCTAGATTAAAAACTCAACAGATGAGCTGACTCGTGGGTGGAGAAATGAAGACCTAGAGCTGGAAAGGGACTTACCAAGGTCACATGAGATTTCAGTGACAGGCATGGAACTCGAACCTGGAGCCTAGAATTTAGCAGTCCAGAACCAAGGCTTTACATAGGAGTTAGGTTCTCCCAGAGGGATGGGCGTTCAGTGATTTCCTCTCCCTCTTTTTTGTTTTTCTTTTCTGACGTGTAAGATTGATGCTGAGCTTAACTCCACAGCCTCCTCTTGGATGAGAAATGGGGCTTCTGTAAGGTGCCTCGGTGGCGCACTGGTTAAGCACTCGGTTGCTAACCAAAAGCTCGGCAGTTTGAACCCACCAGCCGCTCTGCAGGAGAAAGATGTGGCAGTCTGCTTCCGTAAAGATTTATAGCCTTGGAAACCCTATGGGGCAGTTCTACTCTGTCCTATAGGGTCGCTATGAGTCAGAATCAACTCGATGCAACGGGTTTGGTTTTGGTTTGAATTCCTTGAGTGGATAGGGTGGGACTGTGGGTTTCTCTTTGATATGAACAGCTGGCAACCCTTCTCCTCTGGAATTTAAATTATAGTAAACAAAATTTTAATGTCCAAGAGGAATTAGTTAAGTGAAGCCCGGAAAAGCAGCCAATAAAAATGCCTCTTACATATCTACCATGGGATGCTGGGTTTTTGTCTTAACCTCTCTGAGTCCTCAGTTTCCTCATCTGTAAAATGGGCAAGGGCCCCCATCACACACAGATGTTTTGAGAATTAAATGGGAAGTTGTGTGTATAAGACACACAACATATCAGGGTTGTCTTGCATGGAACACCTTCCCAGGGCTTTACAACCCGCTTCTTTGAGTTCAAAGGCACCCAGACAAGGACAAGCTACAGGCCCTTGGGACTCGAGCCTCCATCAGGGAAGATTGTTGTTTTGTTAGGTTCCCTGAGAGTCGATTTTCAACTCAGTGACCCCATGTGACAGAGTAGGACTACCCCGTGGGATTTTCTTGGCTGTAATCTTTACAGGAGCAGGTCACCAGGTCCTTCTCCTGTGGAGCCGCTGGGTGGGTTCTGACCACCGACCTTTTGGTTGGCAATTGAGCACTTAACTGTTGCGCCACCAGGGCTCCTTGGCAAGGCAGACAGAAATTTAAAGTTGTGAAGGGACAAAAAAAGGCAGGACAGAAGGGACAACTGCCTCACAAGCTCCCCACCTGCGTGGCCAGAGGTTAGCCCCCACCCAAACTTGCTTTGCTCCACACATCGAAGGCAGCCTGAGATGATGCAAACTCTCGGGGGGATGTCAGGGTACCCACAGGCAAGAGGGGCACTTGTGGGGCCCGTGCACATCCTAAAAGTGTTCAACCTCGCACTTGAAGGGAAATGCTAACTTGTCTTAATTTCCACAATGACATATCATTTTTTCCATCAGAAATTTAAAAATATTTTTAAAATTATAAAACCCAATGCTAGGAAGTATATAGTCAAGTACCTGGAAGGTGGGGTGCGAATTGCTTCCTGGCAAAGCAATGAGGACACGGGAAACAAAGGGGGTGTCGCTGGCTTCCCCACTAGGACCCTGGGCCAGTCTTCTCGTTGTTCCTTTCCTGCCCTCAGCAGCCCTCCTCAAACACTCAAAGGATGTTCTCTCACCTCCACACACTGTTCCTTCTGGCTGGCTGGAACACGCTTTCCTCACCTCTTCCCCAGCCAAACCTCACTCACCTTCAGCACTCAGCTTAGATTTCCTCTCCTACAGGAACCCCACCAGATTGATTCCCTCTCAGCTAGGTCAGAAGCCTCTTCTGGGCTCCCAGGGTGCTGTGGGCTTCTACCATCACAGCAGTGATTGCTCTTGGTCTGTCTCTCATGTGACACACATCTCCAGAACAGACACTTGATGGAGGAGCAAAATATTTGGAGAAATGGGGATGTTCTGTGAATCATGGAGAGGGACAAGGTTATCCAGGAAGAGTAGAGAAAGGGAGTCCCGGGCAGAGGGAGCAGTAGGAGCAAAAGCCCTTCGAGATGGTGGGCTTGGCCCGTCAGAAGAAGAGCATGGAGGCTCGTGGGGCTGGAGCCAAATGAGAAGGGGGCAGTAGTGGGAGATGAGGTGAAGGTAACAATAGGAGTTGGATCATGCAGGCCTTCCCGCGCACAGTGGGCACTTAGCCTTTAGCCTTGGGTCCTCAGGGAGCCACCGAAGGCTCTAGGCGGGGGGCGGGGGGGCCTGATTTCCTCTAAACCATTGTGCAGCCTCTGGCCTCACCTGGAATCAGCTGGGGCTCCTCCGGGTGTAAGGACAGAAGGTAGAAGGTAGGATCTCACATAGGCTGAGGGCCTAGGCTCTGGAGTCAGGGGAGAAGCCTGACTGCCTGCCCAGCTGTGTGGCCTGGGGCAAATTGCTTAACCTGTGACTCAGTTTCTCATCTCTGCAATGGGAATAATAATCGTACCTACCTCAGGGCTGTCAGGAGAGTTAAATGGGGTGACACATAAAATGGGTTAATGTAAGTACTTAGAATAAGGGCCTGGCAAGCAGTAATGACTCCCTAAGTGTTACATACACATGATCACATTCATTACCATTGGTATTATTAAGCAATGAACAGAGGTTTGCATAACTGAAAAGCCCAGAACAGTTTCAGATGAGGCTTGATGCAGATGCTCACATAGTATCACCAAGGCTCTGGTGTCTCTTCTCTGCCGTCAGCCACCTGGGCCTCATGCTCTCACTCCACAGCTGAAGGCCCAGTCCCTTCCCCATGGTTCCACAAAACAGCCACTCCCGATCGCCTGTCTTCACTCCACACTACCTAGGGCTGGATTGGGAGGGAGAGCCTCTTCCAGTTTCCCCCAAGTAAAAAGAAAACAAGTTTGCCTTCCCAGAAAACAAACAAAACCAAACCCACTGCCACTGAGTTGATTCCAACTCTTAGCGACCCCTTTAGGACAGAGCAGGACTGTGCCATAGGGTTTCCAAGGAGCAGCTGGTGGATTCAAACTGCCAATCTTTTGGTTAGCAGCTGAGCTCTTAACCACTGCGCCACCAGGGCTCCTGCCTTTCCAGAAACCCAGCAGCCTCCTGGCCTCTCGTTGGCTCTGAGACATTCTTACCCCTGAGCCGATTGCTCTGGCCAAGAGGTCTGTGACCTGGGGAGGGTGCCATCCACAGCTGAGGATAGCAGGAGCAAGCTCAGAGAAGAATTGCAGGACCCTAGCTCCACTTCACCTGACCTGCTGGGTCCTGTACCCCAACACCCCAATTTTCCATGTGGGGAAACAAAGGCAGCAAGAGCTTGGAGGCCGCTCTTCTGAGGGTGACTGAGCAGGTATCTGGAGCACGGGGTGGTGAGGACTCCATCTGTGACTGGGCCCAGAGGAAGGGGGAGCAGACAAGCGGGGGCCACTGGGGGCTGGGTGATAGCATCACCTGAAGGGACTCTAAAACGCACCCGTGTATTTCACTTGGCTGGGAGGTGGGGCGTGGGCACTTGTTAAAAGCTGTCCAGGTGATCTAATCTTCAGCCAACGTGGAGAACCTCCCATCTCACGCACTTCACATAGGAGGGGGGGCTCAGGCCCCCACCCACCTGAGGCACAGAGAAACCAAATAACTGGCCCAAGGTCACAGAGCAAGAAGCGATAGAGACAGGATTTGAACCCAGGCCACCTGGGTCTACTGGCCCAGGCTGAGGTAGGGAGAGGGATCAGGAACTACTTCCCTGAGGACACGGTATTTGCCACTCTGCCCCAGCCCCTCCCTGAATATGAAGATGCTGCCAGGCTGGAGAAGTGGGGAGGCCAGTCCCATCCTCCTGGGGGCCTGCAGGCTTGGCAACTCATTCAGGCATTTCTTCTCATCGGCCCCTCCCAGTGACCCATCTCCCTTTCCCAGCTCCCATCCTCACCCCAGAAAAGATGAAGGCGCTCACACCAGAGAGAAGCTGAGTTTATTCCTAACTGAGGGCTTGCTGCCTGAGAACTCCAAGTCCACCCCCCCCCCCCGTCAAAGCCCAGAGAAGGAGGGTCCAGGGCTTCCAACTGGTTTGTTCCAGTTCAAACCCTTGCTGAGAATTTGCATCTCTAACAAGTTCCCTGCTGAGAATCTGTATTTCCACCCCAGATGTACTGAATCACACTCAACAGTTTAACAAGATCCCCAGGTGATTCTTATGTATAACTTCCTGGGAACTTAGAAATGCAAATTCTCAGCAGGGGTTTGAACCAGAGTGAGCTGGTTCAAAGCCCTGGGAGGGTCCTTAGGGGAAGCAATACCCCCTCAGCTCCAGAGATCCCCACCCTCCCAGGGTCTTCCTTTCTCCAAATCCCCAGTAGAGAGGACAGATAGCCAGCAGGGGGATGCTAGACTGGTGGGGGCCTGAGGCCTCAGATGCTCTCTTACCACGACCCAGCTGGGGAGGGGAGAGGAACTGAGCCAGCCCCAGCCAGACTGCAGGTCATGAGATGGGGCTGGGGGCAGGCGGAGGAGACAAAGCTGGGGCATGTGGGTCCGAGGCAGGGGTCTGAGGCCCTGGGGCAGGCTGGAGCTCAGGCACGCACAGCCTCAGCCCCCTGCCCGCAGCCCTCGGGCCCCTCGGTCTTGCTCGCCAAGCTGTAATAGTAGGCTCGCATGCGCTGCTCCACGGTCACAAAGTCGGGGCGGTCCTCCCACCTGTGGGGGCAGGTAGATCCAAGCCAGTGACCACACCCCCAGAACCCAACTACAGCCGAGGGTGGGCAGGCATGGGGCATGGCTAGGTGGACTTCTGGGGCTCAGAAAACCAGGTGTAGGCCTCTTGGGCTGGCGGGGTTTTCGGTGATGGAGGGGTCTCTTGAGGGTGCGAGAACTAGAGTTGAGGTATTGCTGTATCTGCCCAGTAGACATGGAGCTGTTGGCATATAAGATGTTGGGTAACCATATACTGAGTGTTGACTGGTGAGGACTTGGGAACCGAATTCACTGGATGTTGGGGTGACTACTGTTGGCCACGGGGAGGTGGGATATTGATTGCTGGAGTTCTATGTACCAAGGACTGGGGGATCCATGTGCTGGCTTATATGTGCGCAAGTATACGGCCCATAAAGAGCCCTGGTGGCACAGTGGTTAAGCACTCAGCTGCTAATCGGAAGGTCAGTGGTTCAAACCCACCAGCTGCTCCATGGAAGAAAGATGTGGCAGTCTGCATCTGTAAAGATTTCAGCCTTGGAAACCCTATGGGGCAGTTCTACTCTGTCCTATAGGGTGGCTATGGGTCAGGACCAACTTGACAGCAATGGGTTTGGGTTGGTGCAGGGTGTTTCCCAGGGGAGGATGGGTTAACAGCTGATAGGATGGACACCATGGGGGTCTACTGCTTGGATTGCTTGGGTTTTTGGTGTCAATGTCATGGGTGTTGGCCAGTGGGTAATGGATGTTGGGGTACAAAAGGTATGTTGCCTGTTGTCTGATGGGAAGTTGGAATATTAATGGTGTTGGGAGTTAGGTTGTTCGTTTGTCGGCTTCAACCAGACAGAGGCGGGGCTTGAATATGCGAAGTGTGCGAGTTCCTCAGTGTTGGCCTGTGTGGGTAGTAAGGTGCTGAGTGCTGGCTAATGGGGCACCGAGGTATCAGATATAGAGCATTATCTTAAGCCTTGAATGTTGGTATCCTATGCTGGGTCATACGGTAGTGACTTGCTCGGGTCCTGCACGATCAGTGTGTCCAGTGTTGGCTGGCGGGGGGCTGAGGTTTAGATGCTAGAGCACTGAGTATCCCCAGGTAGGGCACTGAGGTGTTGACCTGGAGCGCTGTGGGTGCACTGGTGTGCTGGAGAGGTGGGCATGGCTGTAGGGGACCAAAGGTACTGAGTGTTGAAAAGGCCACGAACTGGGTGAGGGTCTTTGGGTGGGATGGCACTGGGGAGAGTTACGTTGTGTCCTAACCGATCGGGCACCAGGACCCCCAGGCCCAGGGACCGGGTCAGCACTCACTTGTACGTCCAGCATTCTCTCATGAGCGTGTACATCTCGGGCGGACACTCTGCCGGGCACTCCATCCGCTTGCCCTGCTCGATGAAGGTGATGACCTCGGGGCCCTTCATCTTCTGCTCAAGCCAGGTGGACGGCACGTGTGAGTACCAGGCCCTTACCCTGCTTTCCTACCCCGCCGCCCACCCCCCTGCCTCTGCCTGCCTTGTAGGGCTTCTGTCCATAGGAGAAGGCCTCCCACATGGTGACCCCAAAGCTCCAGACATCGCTGCGGCTGGAGAACTTGCGGAAGTTGATGCACTCGGGCGCGTACCACTTGAGCGGCCACTTCCCCGCTGAGCGAGCCTGAGGAGGGGGAGATGCTGCTTGAGCAGGGCTTGGGGACCCTCCACCTGCCAGCCCCGTCCGCCTGGGCACAGCACGGGTGCGGGCTCACAGTGTAGTAGCTGTCGTCGGCACCCAGCGCCTTGGAGAGGCCGAAGTCGCTGATCTTGGCGTAGTGCCGGTTGACCAGCAGGACGTTGCGGGCCGCAAGGTCACGATGCACGAAGTTCTTCTCCTCCAGATATTTCATCCCCATGGTCACCTGGTGCAGCAGCTCAGCCACATTGCTGACAGGGACCTCCTCCCTGGGAGGAGGGGAGGCAGGGTCACCTGGGAGGGGGCAGCCCAAGTTCCCAAGGAGGCAAAAACCCGTTTCTTGGACCCAGCTGCCCATGGGCCAGATTACCATGTGTTCAACAGATGCTTACTGGGCACCTGCTGTATGCCAGGCAGCGTGCTGGGACACAGCCGTGAACAAAACAGGCAAAATCCCTGCCCTCATCCGGGCTCGTGGCTTTAAATATCACCCAGACGCTTAAACTCTGTTCCCAGACTCTAACCCCGCCTGCATCCTCCACGTCCCCTCATGGGACTCCATCTCATGGGCATCTCCATGATAACATGGCCAAAGCCAAGCCCCTGACTGTGTGCACGTGCACACACACACACCCCACCAGCTTCCCCCTCCATCTTCTGCAGCTCGGTTAGCAGCAGCTCCATCCTTATACTTACTTGCCCAGAAGCACTGGGGCTGCCCTCAACCACCCCATGTCCAGCCCTTCAGCAGACCCTGGAAGCTCTGCCTTCAGACTCTGTCCGGAACCCGCCTACTTCTCCTCACCTTTGTTCTGCCACCCTGGCCCAAACCCCATCATCATCACCATCGTCATCGTCATCATCGTCATCATCGTCATCATCATCATCGTCATCATCATCATCGTCATCATCGTCATAGTCATCATCATCATCGTCATAGTCATTGTCATCGTCGTCATCGTCATCGTCGTCGTCATCGTCGTCATTGTCATCATCACCATCGTCGTCATCATCATCGTCATCGTCGTCATCGTCATCATCGTCGTCATCATCATCACCATCGTCATCATCGTCGTTGTCATCATCATCGTCGTCATCGTCATCATCGTCGTCATCGTCATCATTGTCGTCGTCATCATCATCACCATCGTCATCATCGTCGTCGTCATCGTCATCGTCGTCATCATCACCATCGTCGTCATCGTCATCGTCATCATCGTCATCATCGTCATCATCATCATCGTCATCATCATCATCGTCATCATCGTCATAGTCGTCATAGTCATCATCATCGTCATAGTCATTGTCATCGTCGTCATCGTCATCATCGTCGTCATAGTCGTCATTGTCATCGTTATCGTCGTCGTCGTCGTCATCGTCATCATTGTCATCATCATCACCATCGTCGTCATCGTCGTCGTCGTCGTCGTCCTCGTCATCATCATCATCGTCATAGTCATTGTCATCGTCATCATCATCACCATCGTCGTCATCGTCGTCGTCGTCGTCGTCCTCGTCATCATCATCATCGTCATAGTCATTGTCATCGTCATCATCATCACCATCGTCGTCATCGTCGTCGTCGTCATCGTCATCATCGTCGTCGTCATCGTCGTCATCACTTCCCAGGACTAAAACATCCCCACCCAGGCCTCCCCTCCCTCCAGCTCACCTCCTCGCCACCACCACCCCCCCAGACTGTCGCGGAGCCACTTGGGGAGCCTGAGTCAGGCCACGTCCCTCCTTGGCTCCCAGCCTCCCACCTCAGTGAGGGTAAAAACCCACGTTCTCCCTGCAGCCCACAAGACCCTGTGCCGTCTGCCCACCCTCCCGCTGCCCGCTCGCTCACTCTGCTCCAGCCACAGAGCCCCTCACTGTTTCTCCAACACACCAGGTGCAAACCCCCCTCAGGGCCTTTGCACTGGCCGTGTCCCCCGCCTGGAATGCTCCTCCCCGGACCTCCGCCCAGAATCCTCCTCCCTCAGTTTACTCAAACCTCGCCTTCTCACTGACACTCCTGATCCCCTTGCCCTGCTCCCTTTCATTCCACAGCAATTATCTTCCCATGAAGGAGCCGTGGTGGCGGAGTGATTAAACCGTTGGACTACTAACCGAAAGGTCAGAGGTTTAAAACCTCCAGCGGCCCCGCGGGAGACAAATGTGGCAGTCTGCTTCCGTAGAGAGTTACAGCCTTGGATACCCTATGGGGTCGCTATGAGTCAGAATCGACTCCACGGCAGTGGGTTTGGTTTGGTTTTTATTGTCCCATATACTCTATTGGATTATGATTATTATCTACTGCCCCGCTTTCCCAGCCAGAATACAGGGTAGGGATCTTTGTCTCATTTGTTCACTGATGAATCCCAGGGGCTTGTAACAAGCCCTCTCGGGTAGTAATTGCCCAGGGAATACCTGCTGAATAGCTGAATGCCTGAGCCGGTTGGCGCCGACCCACCCTGACGGCGCCGGCACCAGCCAGAGTGTGCGGCTTGGTGATCACGTGCCTCAGAGAGGGTGTGTGTCTGTGAGGGTAGGAGTTGGCATGAGGGACACATGAAAACTGCCATTTCTTTAAGCCCCATACAAAACCTACTGTCATTGAGTCGATTCCGACTCATAGGGACCCTATAGGACAGAGCAGAACTGCCCCATAGGGTTTCCAAGGTGGTAGTCTTTATGGACGCAGACTGCCACATCTTTCTCCTTCAGAGAAAGGTAGGTTTGAATTGTTGATCTTTTGGTTAGCAGCCGAGCGCTTTAACCACTGCGCAACCAAGGCTCCTACATCTTTAGGCCAGGGGTCAGCAAACCTTCTTCTGTAAAGGACCAGACAGTACTTTAACCTTTGAGGCCACATACGGTCTCTGTCAGATATTCTTCGTTTTTTTGTTTCTTCTTTTTTACAGACCTTTAAAAATGTAAAACCACACTTAGCTCTCAGGCCGTACAAAAACAAGTTACAGGCTGTAGGCTGTAGTTTTCTGACCACAGCTTTAGGTCAAAGACAATCCAATATCAGCAGAGCGCGTGGTTTGTGAATTTGGCTGCAAGTATTTGGGTAGCAGAGCCCTGGTGGCGCAATGGTTAAAAGCTCAGTTGCTAACCAAAAGGTTGGCAGTTCGAATCCGCCAGCCACCCCTTGGAAGCCCTATAGTGCAGTTCTACTCTGTCCTATAGGGTCACTATGAGTTGGAATTGACTCAACGGCAACGGGTTTGTTGCTTTTTGGATTTGGGTAGCAATAACGGTAGAGCTAATATCGTACTGGTAAAGCTCTTACTAACGGTGCCGGACCTTGTTCTAAGCACTCAGTAAATATTAGTTATTTAATCCTCCTAGGAGCATTTTGAGGTAGATCCATCCCCCTCTCCAAGTTACAGATGAGGAAACTGAGGCACAGACAGTTTAAGAAACCCGCCTGAGGTCACAGCTAGTTGGCAGCAGAGCGGGGTCTCCAAACCTGTGGTCAGGCTCCAGAGTCTGCGCTGTTCACAGCTCTGCCTTGCGGGTGTGAGGGGGTGGGCCTGACCAGGGCCGAGTTACCCAGTAAGGCAGGTCTGCACAGGCCTTCCCACCAGTCTGTGGTGTACAAGTCCATCTGTCCCCCACCACGGCAGGGATGTGGTGAAACCCTGTGAAATTGCTCACCACAGCTTAGCAGGTAAATACAATTAAACCCACGAGCTCCTTGCCCAGTGCAAGCCGATGCATACGGCACTTCTGGTGAATCCGCTCCTGACTGTGTCACGAACATGTGGAAATGGTGTGCGCTCACAGGCGTGTGCACAGGTCCACGTGGGAGCAAGAATGCATGCACCCTGGGAGTGTGGTGTGGGTGCCTGTCTACCTGCCAAGTGACTCGGTGGGCAGGTGGGGTGAGTCCCTCCAGCCCCACCCCGCCTACCCCCCCCCTCCCCGGGGCTCACCTCTTTCCAACCAGGAACTTGTGCAGGGGCCCGCTGCCCGCCAGCTCCATGACCAGCATGAGGGCCTCGGCCTGGCAGACGCCGATGAGCCGCACGATGTAGGGGTTGTCCAGCTGGTGCATGATCTGCGCCTCCCGCATCATCTCGTCCTTGTCCGCCTTCTCCGTGCTCTGCTTCAACACCTTAATGGCCACGTCGATCTGCTTCCTGCCCCGTGCACCCACGGGAGGGTGTGTGAGCCGGGCACGGCCCCACTTGGCCCCCCCATTCCCACCCCAATTGCATGGTGGATGCGGTGGTCTGCCGCCCAATCTCCCTTCAGGACCAAGACGCTCATTTGCCCAGAGGCTGGGACTGCTGGCTGCAGAGAGCTCACCACTCAGTCCCTCCCCAGGAATCGCTGTGGCTGAAAAGAACTGCCTGGTCCACAGTCACACCCTCGCAGGGGCAGCCTGCATCCAGTGAGGGTCACAGGCAGACAAGGGGGCTCTCTCTGCAGCTCCCCTGGGGTGGCCTGAGGTTCCTGCTGCAACCCCAGCACAGCCCAACCTCTCCTTTGGCGGACTGCATCCTCCCTCCCTCTCAGCACTGATCCCTCTGGGGAACTCTCCCGGATAATTGTCTTGCGCGCAATTTCCCACCCCAGAGCCTGTGTCCCGGGAAACTGACATGAGACAGCCTGACATCCTGGCTCCCAGCCCCAGACTGCCTCCCACACAGTGGCAGGGCCCCCACCCCGGCAGGGCCCCCCACCCTGGCAGGGCCCCCATACTTGCGCATGCGGTAGACGCCCTGGCGGACTGAACCGAAGTTGCCGGAGCCGAGTTCGAGGTCAGCCATGATGAGGTTCTCGCGCTTCAGGAAGAGCTTCTTGTCCTTGAGCTCCTCGGGGTCGCTGTAGGGGCTCTCATACACACTCGTGTCCATGGGCAGTGGCCGCGTTTTCTCCGGGGACACTGGGCGTGCTGGGCACATACTCCCAGGTCAGGAGGGGAACGGGATGGGGGAGGGGCTTCAGCCCCAGACACACATGCCTCGGACAGGACTGTGCCATCCAGAGCATGTGCATGGGTACGTGTGCACCTGTGTACACTCAGCATGGGAACGTGTGCACCTGTGTACACTCTCAGCATGGGAACGTGTGCACCTGTGTACACTCTCAGCATGGGAACGTGTGCACCTGTGTACATTCTCAGCATGGGAACGTGTGCACCTGTGTACACTCAGCATGGGAACGAGTGCACCTGTGTACATTCTCAGCATGGGAACGTGTGCACCTGTGTACACTCAGCATGGGAACGAGTGCACCTGTGTACATTCTCAGCATGGGAACGTGTGCACCTGTGTACACTCAGCATGGGTACGTGTGCACCTGTGTACATTCTCAGCAGGGGTACATGTGTACTTGTGTACACTCTCAGCTGCATCTGGGTGTGCACCGTGAAGCCACCAACAAAGGGCTCTGAAGGTGCATGCCTCTGCGTGCATGTGTGATCATGTGTGCACCCTCTGGAGTGTGCACACATGTGTGCTCATGTGTGTTATGTACACACCCAGGTACACTCCCGCCAATGTTGGTGTGTGTAACACGCAGCTGTGAACACAGAGGACCAAAGACATGCACATCTGTGTGCATATGGAACCAGCAGGCACTAGCTGGCGTGTGCACACTGGTGCATACGTGTATTCACATGTGTACCCCTATCTACATGCCCGCCCATGTCTGTGCATGCACCAGGCAGCCATATTTATAAGCACTCTGAGGTGAGCATGTGTGTGTACACGTCACCACACACGCCCTCCACCCTGCACACGTGAACAGGTTTACATCCACATGTGAAGCCATGAGCGTCTTCAGCAGAGTGTTTTAGGAACACAGACTCTGAAGCCCGTCTGCCTGGTTCAAATCCCAGCTCTACCATTGCCTACCTATGGGCCCTTAGAAAGTGACTTGTCCTCCCTGGGCCTCCCCCTTCTCATCTGTAAAATGGGCATAAGTACCGTAACTACTTCATAGGGAGTGTTGGGGAAACCAATGAGTTCATACACACAGTGAGCTTAGAACATCACCAGCACACAGTAGGTGCTCAATAAATGTGTGTCTGTGCACAGAATGCCCCAGGCATGGCCAGCTGTACTTCCTTGCATGTCAGCAGCTCCACAGGCAGGCATGATAGGGGTGCACCGTGGGAAAGCTTGTGGGCACGGTCTGTGCACAGGGGCCAAACGAGTAAACCGCCCGTGGGCTTGGCCTGGCTAACCTCTCCCCGCCCCGCCACCAGCCCCAGAGCCTAGCCGGGGACCCTGCTGTCTGCCTGGTGCGAGCCCCAGCCCACCTCCACCTCTGCCAGCTCACCTGGCTCGGGGGTGTAGCCATCTGAGTTGAGGGTGTCAGTCCGTCTCTGAGGTTAAAGGTCATATGGTCAGCAAGGCTCAGCGGGGCCTAGCCCCTCTTATGAGGCACATGAGAGGACTCCCCAGGGACAGTGCCCAGACTGGGGGGCCTCTCCTGCTCCACAGAAGCTGCCGCTCTTCTTCCCAGCCTCCCCAGAACAGGACCCATCATCTGCCCACCCAGCTCCACCCGCACATCCCCAACTCGGGAGGAGCCTGACTGACTCACGTGGGTGAGCGTGGATGGGTGGGCTGGGAGAGTGGGAGCAGCGGCCCCTGGGGGAGAAGAAGAGACAGTGAGGGACGTGGGGGGATGGGGCCTCCCACCCACCAATCCCACGGCCCCCACCCACCTGAGGTGGCGCAGGCACTGGAATTGGGACAGGCCTCCTTGAGGCAGTAGATGAGGCCGTCGGCTTTCAGCTTCAGGTACTCTACCAGCTGCAGGGAGGGGTGTCAAGGCAGGCTCCTCTCCTCCCCAGGAGCCTGGGCACCCCGTCACAGTGTCTCCCCCAGAACAGGGTGGGAGGGCAGCCTACCTGCCAGAGAGTGTCAAACTTGGTCCCCTCGGGAATGCAGTACTTGCCGGCCTTGTCCTGGCTGATGAGGTAGTGGTACACGGTTTTCCCGTAGATCAGGGACAGCGCATACGTGCCCTGCTCCTTCCGGGGCCTCAGCCTGGAGAGGGCAGGGAGAGGTATCACTCCTACAGCCACCTGGCCCCCTCCTGTGTGCCCCCTTCTGAGTCTCAGTTTCCCCCACACATCCTGTGGGCTCCACACCCCAGAGCCTCATGGAGAAGCAGCAGGGACTGGGGGAGCCAAGGTCAGGTCCCATTCGACTTCCAGACCCATTGGTAATGGGTCAGTGTGGGGGAGGGAGAAGGCGGAGAGGGCTATGAGTGTCCACAGGGAAACACATGTTCAAGGCCAGAGGAATACTGGCCTTTCACGGGAAAACTGGACCCCACAGCAGACATCCGGCCCTACACAGCCAGACACTCAGCCACCCACAGGCCATCCACAGGTGGACATGTGGCCACTCACTGCAGACATTCCACCACCTGTGGTCAGACACACTACCACCCAGGAGCAGATCCCCAGCCACCACACGACATCGGGTCCTCCCAGGTGGGTACTCAGTCACCTTCAGCCAGAACTCAGCATCTCGTGGGGCACTCAGTCATCCGGGGGCACACTCAGTCATCCAGGGGCACACTCAGTTATCCGGGGGCACAGTCAGTCATCCGGGGGCACACTTAGTCATCCAGGGGGGCACACTCAGTCATCCCAGGGCATATTCATTCATCCGGGGGCACAGTCACCCGTGGGCACACTCAGTCATCCAGGGGCACACTCAGTCATCCGGGGGCACAGTCAGTCACCCGTGGGCACACTCAGTCATCTGGGGGCACACTCAGTCACCCGTGGGCACACTCAGTCATCCAGGGGCACACTCAGTCACCCGGGGGCACACTCAGTCATCCAGGGGGGCACACTCCGTCATCCACGGTCGTACCATGGGAGGATACCTGACCATCTACGGCAGACACAGAGCCTTCAACAGGGAGACTTAAAATCATTTTTCTTGGGAAGAGAAAGCCATTTCCACCTGGATACCCACACGGGTAAGCACAGCTCCATGATTAGCTCGCAAGGCTCCTTTGTGCAAATTAGAACAAATCACCTGCCATCCCAGTAGACTGACCAGTTATCTTAATAGGCTGACTTTGATAGAATGAGTCTTGACTGCCCTCTGCTGGAAAATTCGTCAAAATAAAAATACAAATCTTCCATGTCTAGGACGGGAATTGAGCCCCTCAAAGATGGTGCCCCTGTGCAGTAAAAACTGTCCACCCACACACACAGGCCCCAAGTAAACACACACACACAGGCCAACGAAGAGGCAGACGCCTGCATCCTCACATCCTACAGTGAGACCAGTCAACATCGCCCACAAAACAGCTTTGCTTTGAATCACTGGCACAAGGTCTCCAGGGCTAAGTGCGGATTTCCAGCAGAGGGAGTGGGCAGCTGGTCTGGGGTCTCGGCGGGCACCGGTGGGAACCGCGGGCAGCTGGCCAGTCCTCACTAAGGAGATGCTCTGAGTTAAAGAGCAGCTGGCTGGCAGCGAGCAGCAGAACGTAGCCGCTGTGATGGCATGAGAGTGGGCATCCTCACAGGTGTGGGCTCGGGCCCCGCCTACGGGTGTTCGTTCACCTGACACTCATTTACCAGGTGTCAGCCATGGGCTGGGCACTGTTCTAAGGGCAAGGACACGGTGGTGGACAAGACAGGAGCAAGCCAACCTTGCAACTGGGCCATTTGTTAAGCCAAAGAAGAAAGAAATGTCCCCTAAATCACCATGGTGGGACAGAGTCAGGGAAAGAGGTGTGACTGCAAGCATCCCATCCAATCCTACACAGCACGTTCCCCAGAGAACAACGGAGGGAATGATGACAGAGTTCCCAGGCTAGCCCACAACAGTCTAGGGGAGAGGCCAACTTAGGAAACTGGGGTGGGGGTAATAGGGAGCCCTGAAGGGCAAGGAAGAGAACCCCGCAATAAACTAAGAAATGCAGACGTGCACGCAGAGGACGTTACTTTCGTAACTAGACTGATGGGCTAACCTGGAGGTTATGATCTCTGATTACTAATTCTCTTCTTTTGAGAAGTGAAAACAGCTCTTAAGGGTCAAAACCCCATGCGAGGCTTTGTTGCTACAGTTTTGACCTTCATCCCATAACTATCCACGACCTGAGAAAGCAGTTGTTGACTACAGGAACCACAAGAAGAGTCTTCAACAGCAAAGCTGTCCAGAGCATGCCTTGCCTCATTTACCAGGTGCCTGGCTCATTGTAGCTGCTTCTGGACATTTCCCCAGCATGAGTCACTGACCTTCATAGGGCTTCTGGACCTCACCGCCAGCCTCAGTCTCCATACTGCGTCCAGATCCTAGCTCCCCAGCCTCGACATTCCACAGCCAATGCTGGCCCTGTCTGCCTATCTGCCTGGTATCCAGAGCATCTGCAGCTGCTCAAAGCTGTGGGCCCTGATTCCCTAACCGATACACTCTCTTTGGAAAAAGACACGTAAGCTCATAAAAGAGCAATCAGTAATTCCTGAGCCATAACCACGCAGGCAAGAACTTATATGGTGCAGTCAACCATATATATTTCAGTGCCACAAATTCTACTTTATTCACCAAAAAACCACTGGCGAGATTCTTCTCAACAGACTGGTTAAGTCTTAGCCTGTCATAAATTCTGCTCTGTTATGTAAAAGTTTGCAAATGTTTCCTCTTGGCAGTGGGGTTCTTTGTCAAACAACTTCTTACATGAAGCTTACAATAGGAACAGGGCAAAGCTGAGTGGCTGTCCCAGTTGAAACTAGGATGGGGCTCAGAATCCCCTCTGCTCAGCCCTCTACTCCTGTCTTCCACCTCCCAGAATCCTCTGATACTTTCAGGGGGGCTTAAAGGAATCTGAAGGAGCCCTGGTGGTACAGTGGTTAAAGAGCTTGGCTGCTAACTGAAAGGTCGGTGGTTCAAACCCACCAGCCACTCTGTGGGAGAAAGATGTGGCAGTCTGCTTCTGTAAAGATTTATAGCCTTGGAAACCCTATGGGGCAGTTCTACTCTGTTTTATGGGGTCGCTTTGAGTCAAGATTGTCTCGACGGCAGTGGGTTTAAGGAATCCGAGGAACGATTTTAAAACCACTGGAATGACAGAATCCTTATCCACATGCACAGGTGCAGCAGTGGCAAGAGTCATTGACTCTCACTTCATTGTGTAGACTTGGGGAGGGCGCCAGGTTAATGTCCTCATAAGCCAGTGAGATACGAATGTGTGCGAGATGCACGACCAATTACTAGTAACATCTTAGTGTTATCCCCAAGAGGGAGAGTGTGCGGCATCTGGGCAAAGATGGATAACATCTGAACAAGTGCCAGGTGTGCTAGAAGATGGAGGTCTCCAGATGCACCAGGTGCCCATGTGAGAGCTGTCCATCACCTGCAAGGTGACCACCTTATGCCACTTCTAATACAGACTGTTGGCAAAAAGGGCTGCCTTAAGGTCATGGAAGCTCCATAAGACACATCCAAACTCCCTGAGGGATCGAATTACTGGGCTGAGGGCTGTGGGGACCATGGTCTCGGGGAACATCTAGTTCAATTGGCATACCATAGTTTATGAAGACAGTGTTCTACATCCTACTTTGGTGAGTAGCGTCTGGGGTCTTAAAAGCTTGTGAGCAGCCATCTGAGATACTCCACTGGTCTCACCCCTTCGGGAGCAAGGGAGAATGAAGAAAATAAAAGATACAAGGGAAAGATTAATCCAAAGGACTAACGGACCACAACTACCACAGCCTCCAACAGACTGAGTCCAGCACAACTAGATGGTGCCCGGCTACCACCACTGACTGCTCTGACAGGGATCACAACAGAGCTGGAGAAAAATGTAGAACAAAATTCTAACTCACACACACACAAAAAAAAAAGATCAGACTTACTGGTCTGACAGAAACTGGAGAAACCCCAAGAGTATGGCCCCCAGACACCCTTATAGCTCAGTAACGAAGTCACTCCTGAAGTTCACCCTTCAGCCAAAGATTAGACAGGCTGATAAAACAAAACGAGACCAAATGGGCACACCAGCCCAGGGGCAAGGATGAGAAGGCAGGAGGGGAGAGGAAAGCCAGTAATGGGGAACCCAAGGTGGAGAAGGGGAGAGTGTTAACATGTCTTCGGGTCAGCAACCAATGTCACAAAACAATATGTGTATTAATTGTTTGATGAGAAACTAGTTTGCTCTGTAAACCTTCATCTAAAGTACAATTAAAAAAAACTTTTTTAAAAAGCTACTAATAAGAAGAAGAATAATGGTAATGATAATAATGATGATACTAACAGAAAAAAAAAAAAAAAGCCTGCCTTAATTCCCCTCCCTTGGATACTCTGCTCCCCTACAGCAATGCCGGCTTTGACCATGTGACTTGCTTTGGACAATGGGACATCAGAGAGTAACATTCCACAGCACAGGCTTGAAAAGCACTTGTGTACTGGAATTTGCCCTCTCTGGCTGTTCTTGGGAACCCTGCAAGCACCCCCATGGGAACCTCCATTGTTTCAGGAGACACTGACCCAACAGCCACGCATGTGACCTCTTCAGTCCCAGCCTAACTGACCCAAACCAGAAGAACTGCCCACAGAATTGTGAAAAATTTAAAAAAAAAAAACCTGTTGTTTTGAGCCACTAAGTCTTGGGGTGGTTTGTTACATAGCAAAAGCTAACTGATACAAATGTAAACCTAAGTTTACCCTCTTAGAGAAAGCAGCCCTATCTTAAGTTGTTGAAAAGCCACCCTCGCAGCTGAACATTATTGCAACATGCACTCAAGAGTTCCTTCAGAAACTGGAAACTTCACTCCAATTCACAGGCTAAATCTGTAAGGTAAACTGAAAAAAAAATTATTTTATCGGCAGACGGCAGAATTTTGAGGAGGGAACTCCACCTTGCAGGAGACCCACAGGCAATCCGACACACATGTATGACCTCCCATGGGTGGGGAAAATCAAGACAAAGGGATCAGTTCCCCCAAATGGGTTGGCCCAGCAGAGGGGACAGCTGTAGAGCAGGCAGGTGAAAGGAAGGATTCGGCCGGCAGGAAGTCAGGCCACAAAGCACCCCTGAGAACAGAGGTCCCCCGGGAATTCACAGCCGCCCTGGGAAGGGCCCTGGACTTCCGGAAGGTCATGGGAGAGAGGCAGGCATCAAGTTCCTTTATATCTCGAGGCCCGAGAGACCTCGGCTGACATTTGGGTGAGACTGGTTACACAAAAGAGCCCGTGTCCAGAAAGCAACAGGCTCAAACAGGGCTCTCAAACACACAGCAGGGTTTTAAAATAACTTTAGAGAAATTATTTCACAATAAAAATTTTAAAAAACTTACAAACTGTCCCATGGCTCCGCTGAGGCTCAGACACACCCATGCACCCACAGAGAATAACTGCTGACATGTAATGCGTCTCTGGCATGAGACTCTGCCATCACTTTTTGGCCCCCAGCTCGTGGCAACCCCAGGCACAACGGGATCAGACCCTCGTGATCCGTGTACACTGGGTGGTTGTCAGAAGTAGATCAACAAGGCCTTTCTTCCTAGTCCATCTTAGTCTGGAAGCTCCGCTGAAACCTGTTCAGCATCATAGCAACACAAAAGCCTCCACCGACAGACGGGTGGTGGCTGCTCATGAGGTGCGCTGGCTGGGAATCAACCCAGGTCTCCTGCACGGAAGGCGAGAATCCTACCACTGAGCCGCAATGCCCGCACTATCACTGCACTACTAACTCCCATAACCCTTATAACAACCCTTGGGGCACGTACCACTACGATCCAAGGGCAGTTAGAGCAAGGTGCTTCAACACTCTCCCAGGCCTCCCACCGCGCTCAGGTAAAAGTCAACTTCCTCACTGGCGTCCACCTGCCCCCTCCCACTCTTACCTACCCCCACCCTCCCCCTGCCTACTGGGCTCCAGTTACACTGGGGCTCCCAGTGTGTCTTGAACATACCAAGTACACGCCTGCCTCCTGGTCTCTGCCCTTGCTGTCCCTTTGCCGGGACTGCTCCTCCACCAGGGAGCTGCTCCGCTCAATTCTCAGCTCCTTTGGTTCCTTACTCAGTGTCCCCTTCTCAGGGAGGCAGGGGCCTCACCAGGGGGATGCGGGCGTGTGAACGATACCAGTGACACTGTCAAAAGGGTGACACCAAAATGACTGTCTATAAAATTCTTGTGCAGTGTTTCAGCAGTAACCTATTACTTTTTTATAAAGATAGCCCTGTCGTTAGTCACAACAACAACCACACTTTTCTTACGCCCAGCTTACATGGCTGAACATACCTACAAGGCTAAAACTCTACGCTGATTTCCTTTTTGAACCTTCTAACGCGCTCCAATTACAATGACGCTTTGAATCACGTGGTTTCGTCCACACGCGCTACAAGCACAGGCTGTTGTTTTCATTGCTGCCAGTGTTTTTACAGTTGCTGATTTTGTCAAATTTTCTGGTGTTTTAGCTACGATATTATAGTAATTAGTACTTGTGAACCTATAGCAATAACTTTTTGAGAATGAAGTAGTAATTAAAGGAAAAGCAGAAAAATCATAAAAGGCTTCCGCTCAAGTTACTAATAACGTAACTAATAATGTGATTCAACGTAGATTTTACAAAACAATTTTGTTGTTAGTATTCATATAATCTAAGAAATATTACATTTAAGCAATTTACAACTATATTTTTCACGTATTATCCTGTGATTAAAATTGATAATAAACACACTAAGGATTCTGTATGGTCTGGTACAAGAGGAGGTCCATGGGGGGGAGGTGACACCATGAGTCACTGCGCTGGGTGACACTAACCCTAGTGACGCCCCTGCAGGGAAGGCTCCTCTGACCACCTGACCCAAAATTGCAAGCCCTTCCCGTGTACACACAGCACTCACCCCCAGCTGACATGCAGTATGTTTTATTTATTCACCGTTTTTGTCCACCCGCCCCCCAGGGCAGGGATTTCTGTCTGTTTTGTTCACTGCCGTGTCCTCAGTGCCCGACACACAGTAGGTATTCGGAAATATTTGTTGCATAAATGAGCCCACGTTGAAAGAGGAAATTGAGGGAAGGAGACGTTTAATTACTTGCCTGCGGTCTACAGTCAGTATGCGGCAGAAGCCGGATTCCAACCCAGCAGTCCAGCCGGAGCGGGGAGGAGCTTTCCTAACCGCTATTCTTCCGTATAAAAATCCCTTCGCACACGCACAAAGGCACATGTGTGCACCCACGGGGGCTTATCCACAGGCACACCCCTCACAGCCCATGCTGCACACTCAGGTCTACCCCAGCCCCTAGGATCCTGGCCCCCAGGTCCTAGTCCTCACCGCCCCAAAACCCCAGGCTCCAGCCTCCACATACAGGAACTTGCCGTCCGTCTGAGCGCCCGAGTAGAGTTTGCGCTCGGCCTCTTCTCTCGTCAGATCGCTGTGGTACCAGGGCATCCGCTCGTGGGCCGTGGTGGCGATGAGCTTCTCCACCTGGGGGGCCTGGCTGACGATGGCCTGCTCCAGTGCCTCACCCTAGGGAGGAGGCGAGGGGTTGTGGGTGTGGCCAACTGTGGGGCCACAGGAACCCCTTTCCACTTCCTGGACCTTTCCAATCGCCGTGTCCCCATGAGACGCCCTCACACTTTAGTGCACCTAAGGGCGCGCCTTGCAGGTTGTTGGAGCGGCCCCCGACGTCTCTATACAGGCCACGCCCATTCGTGGCCTCTCCCCCAGGCCCCACCTTCCAGCTTGATCCCAAGGGCATCTCGAGCTTCCACCTGATGCAGGTATTCGGGCACCACGGTCCATTGCAGAAAAGCCGTCCGCCCCCGTTGACCTCCCCACCCCAGGCCCCTTCATGCTATCAGACCCGCCCCCAGCCCAAGCCTCACCCCGTCCCGGCCCTGCACACACCTCTACCTTCCCGTCTAGCTGGGTAGAGCACTATAGCACCGCTCGGGCTGTGGAAGACTACCTTCCCACCGCCACCATCACGGGGCCCCTGCCTCCAAGGTCTCCTCCCAGATGCCGCCCCCAACCAGAGCCCCATTCCTTCAGCTTCCAAGCCGGTAGCACTTTAGCATCGCTCAGGCTGGCGAAGACCATCCCTCTCCCCTAGACCCCAAAGTCTCATCTGTCCCCTCGGTCCCTCCTCGGTCCCAACCCATCCCTCCAGGGCACCACCACATCCAGGCCCCGTCCCACCTCG